ATTTCCTTTTTTTCAATTAGAGCATCACACAATAATATGAGAATCTGAGTTTTATTAGTTCTATAATATCTGAAAACTAGAAGAAATAATGCCCAACATTTCATTTCTAAGTTAAATATAATCCAAAGGTTCCATATCGAAATGCCATTGTATTCAAAGAAAAATTTTGTATATAAGGCATGTTTCATGCATCAACACCCCTCATCTTCATGCCTCCTTGTTTCTTTCTTCTCTAGTTATTCTAATCTCGCTATAATGATAGTTCTAATGTAAAAGTTACAATGCTATATTTTTGTCTTCATCTTCAACTAGCCAACCAATTGTCATGAAGGTTAATGATTGAAGTCATAGTTTACACCCTAAAACAACCTAAAAAAGTATTAGATATGAGATTAGCAGCTTCAAAACATTGCACAAATTATTATAAAATGAATGTTTGTGTTTAAAAATAAGGACTGAACAATTGTCAAGAAAACTTCGATCATATACCGAATATAGGATGTCAAAATGGTTTTTAGGTGGGTTGAGACCAACCAAAAATGACCCCATCGTTATTTGAACCGACCCAACCCAACTTGACTTAAAACTCGAACTCATGTTTTGGAAAACGAGTCAGAAATTCGAACTTGGACGGACCTGCCCCAAACTCGGTTCGACCCAATCCAATACACTGACCCGAACGCAAAGTAGGAAAGTGAGCGCTGATACGGGGCGCCGGGGATCTAGCACGGGTGTGCGGGTCAAACCCAAAACCGACCCGTTTGCCAAACAGGTTAACCCGAACCGCAAACCAAAACTTTTGGGTCGAGTCCAAGCAGGGTCAAATATTGACACCTCTAGCATAATATGATTCAATCAAGATCAAAATAAGTTATATCAAGCTCAAAATAGGTTTTCAAGAAAAGCCATAACAATTTTGATCAAGTTCTAAACAATAGTTAATAATTCGATCATGTATTCAATGAAACTTTGAGCTAAGTTCAAATTTGTTAATTTTGTGCTGATTTGAGTTGACATGTCATGCATGCAGATATATGCTCAAGACATATAAATATAGGAGTGCAATGGAAAAAAATTGTTAAGAAATTTGAGTCATTTGAGGCTAATGATACTATGGTGTTGAATATGAAAGGCAAATACAATATTTAAAAATACAGATGTCTGCTCTTATACTTACAGATAGACATTACATGAATTTCTATGAATTGGGTGCTTTCAGTGGAAGTATTGTTGCTTTTATTAGATGTGCTGGTAGCCTGAAATTCAAAAATACAAATTAAAATACTCCTGCGATTACTTGATAAAAATGGAATTAATCATGATGATCTGCATGAGCACATTTTATAGAGAATTGATTTAATTTGAGAATTTTATACGACATAGAAGTCGTCATACTCAGATACTACATAGCAATGTAACTAGAGCTCATTTAATAGACGAGCTCGAGGCTCCACAACTCGGCTTGCGAGCTCATTACCGAGTCGAGTTTGAGCTAGCTCAGATCATTTACACCTCTTGTTTGATTATAATTAAAATATGTCATTATAAATATTGTAACTACTTTAAAATTTATGACAAAGTTGCTTATTAAAATTGTAAAATATTTTGAAGTTGCTTATTAAAATACTAAGTGCATAACATAAACATCTTGCAGTTGATAAAGTTGCTTATTAAAATACTGAGCAACCAAAGCCCAAAGACGCAAAACATCAAACATCTTGCAGTAAAAAAACAGGGGTAAATGAAAGCACAACTCATGTGAGTAAAACATTTGACCTGTCGTGCCAACTACCAACAGCAGATTTCAAGACACCTACGTCATAACATAATGAAAAAGAATTAGAAAATAGTTTCCGCAGTCCTTCATCAATATAAGGCCCCAAAAATAATTTTAAGAAGAAGAACAAAATTGGACACCAAATTTACCTATATAGAAGGAAATACTAATTGATCACGTTGATACCGACAGCGATGAACACATTCCTGCGTCACCTTAACAACAGGCAAGACACATATTCTGCGGCGCTTATTTCTACAGGATTTTAGCTCAAAATGCATCCAAGAAAGAAATTTTTAAGAAAGAGAGATATAATGAGAGAGCCGGAACGGTAATAGAAACTCGCTTAATCATGGAATAGAGAGGAAACAACGCATGCAATGAAATCAGGTGGTTTAGGTTTTGGTGTTGAATATAAAAATGTTCCATATTGAACAATTTTTTTCGCGGAAATCTTGCAAAGATTTGGTGTTTGGCCGAACCAATTTCTAGATATCACGCAATGAATAAGACATTCCACTAGAACGTGGCATTTCTTGAAATGGAATTAGCCCTGATGGCGTCCTCCTCCCGATGCACATTGCTTTAATTTCGTATTTATATTTTTTTTCGCGGCACAGTTTCACCTCCTATTCACACACTCACTGGAGTTTTTCTGCAGGAAAAAAAAATAATGAAAAATATTAAGAATTAGCTTCAAAACTTTTAAATTTATTTTATGTGAATTTGAACTATATTTAAGATTAATAAAAATTACAAAATTTACAGCTCATTGCTCTCATCCCCCGAAGGTTTTGATTGATATTTGCTGTTACATTCAATATTGATCTATAACAGCTTTCTCTCTTCAATATATTCTGGCATATGAATGCATAGTTTTTTTTTTTTAATTTGGTTTAATATATGATATACTTAACACATATATATATATATATACACACACACACACACACACACACATACACACACAAGAGCCCTGCTAATTATTTAATTCATGTCCATTGGAAAAGACCACAATGAAACAAGGTGCAGTTATGCAACTCGTTTTGGCTGAGAATTTTGACTACTAATTAAGAGGTAATGAGTTCGAATATTGTATATATAATGTGTAAATTTTTCTTAATTGATCTAAATATAAAAATATAACAGGTACAGTTCACATGGGACTGACATGCTATTCAAGCAGTAATAGTAGATTTCTTAATATAAATTATATTAAAATGAATTTTAAAATTCTTAAATTTGTTTTGATATTGATGCAACGCCATTCTTTTTTTTTTTCTGAAAATATAAATCCTTATGAACACCTAACAAATCAAATGTATCATCACCCTCTTGGAAAATATATGGTGCTTTTGACTCCAATAGATGAGAAGTGAAACCAGAATACTAATATCCATTGTTGAATTTCTCAAATTAAATTGTAATTTAAGATATTATTATGTAATTTGAATGCGTGCTACAAAGAAGCATTTAATGGCATGGGTGGAGCTATAGCGGGGGCATTTGAGGGCCATGCGCAAGCTAGTCCAGTTTTGCCCAAAGTTCATTATTATTTTTTCTAAATCCTAACCCATGCCCCGCCCATGATCCCACTTCTTGTGCGGCTGTATTATTGTCCTATTGAGAATGAAGGAAGCATAGGCTACCCCCCTCATATATATTAAATGATAGTGCCTAAAAAGATAGAAGAATAAGAAAAATTTAACCACAAAATTCAAACTATCCATATTAGAATTATAATATCCTATACCGCTTTACCGAGCACTAGTAGATCGCCAGATTTGACGGAGCCGAACAAATAGCAAATTCGCGTTTAGGGCCAGAGAAACGAGACGGATGATAAAGTGAATAGGGTAAGTCACCCGTGGCAAGTTTTAAAAAAAAAAATTTTTGCGCTATTTAAGCAGTTAATTAAAAATTAAATGAGGTTCAGTTGAAAAAAAACCAAATAAAATCGGTATGATTTATGGGACATGAAATAGTGCAATTTTATCTATTCTTAGTGTGTAGTCTCTATTAATATGCATTTTGGGTCTAGGAAATGTTATGATTAAGAATCAAAGCTGGATTAAATATAGATTAACAAACTTTTTCTGATGAAAAAGCATAAGAAGCGCAATATATGACCTCTGAATCCACATTGGAATTTAAATTTATTTTATTTGACCAGTGTTATCAGAGGTCCTAAAGCTTCTAATTTGGACTGGTCTCGGGGCTGTTTGGTATCGGATTTATCTGGGATTTAAGTCGGATTTACGCTAAATCCAGCCAAACGGTTTTTGTGCGCGCGTTAAATCCCGGGATACCGTAAATCCTGGATTTACGGATTTACGGCTTAAACCCCAGATTTACTAAATCCCTCCGTTCGGCGGATTTAACGAGATTTAGCCGAAGAAGCGCGCGGAAGGGAGAAAGTTACCTTCACAGCCAGCGAGGTCCCGTTGTTGCTTCCGATCAAAATGTCCTAACTTCCGATCCGACAGGAAGGGAAAGTCGTCGAAGGAGCGAAGTCGAACAGCAACGAAGGAGGCGAAGAAGCGACGCGTGCAATCTATACACCTCCTGCAAAGCAACGAAGCCGAACAGCAACGACGAAAAGAGAAGATGAAAGGTAAACCCTAGACGCCTCTAAGTTATTATTGATTAACTTAATAAGTTGGAATTTAAAGTATGAAACTTTTTCTTATGAAAAGGCATAAGAAGCGCATGCAATATATGACCTCTGCAGCAAACTTAAGGGCTCTTCAGCGGGGTGGAAATTTGGAGAGAGACGAAATTTCACCTGTGCAAGCGGCTGTAGAAGATGAAGATCTTGATCAAGCTGGAGGATGGGCTATAGTTTCCTGCCTTCGTCGTCTCGGGAGCCGGATGGAGAAAGAACTCAAGCGGAAAACAGAACTCTAATGCCTTAGCTTCCTCCTCCTCGGTTTCTGCTAAAAAATTGCGCTGCTTGGGACAATAAGCAAGGCCGTCGTCCCATGTGAGTTTAAATGGAGAGTACATATTTCTTAAAATAAAAGAAAGATAGAGGTAGAGAGAGAATAGAAGCTCATATTAATGGAAAGTTTTTCCAGATATCATATTTAATTCAAACAACTTATTTAATTAGCAGATAGAGATTGGGCGAACAAATAATTGCTATAAATAATATATTTCTATAAATAAATGTATAGCTATATGCTCATATAAATATACGTGCTTACAAATATTTATTTAATTATAAGCACATCTTATTTATATAAATTTAAGCATAGCCAACTATTTATTTAAAATTTTAACATGCACTAAATGAGGTCTGATTTGTACGAGAACATACCCACTTGAACGATCTTGATGATATGAACGTGATCATATAGTTCATTTTGTAAGACGATTTCATCGAACAAAAAATTTTACATGAATGAAGATTTACGCTAAATCCTACTTGAAGTGCCCAACCTAAAAAAGATCCCAATTGAGCAACCAAAGCCCAAAGATGCAAAACATCAAATATCTTGCAGTAAAAAAAATAGGGGAAAATGAAGGCACAACTCACGTGAGTAAAACATTTGACCTGTCGTGCCAACTACCAACAGATTCCAAGACACCACATAACATAAATGAAAAAGAATTAGAAACAAATTCCGCAGACCTTCATCAATATAGGCCCCAAAAATAAATTTTAAGAAGAACAAATTGGAACCAAGTTTTACCTGTATAGACGATAATCTATGATCACGTTGGTCCGAGCAGCGACGAACACAGTCCTATGTCACCTAACCCGGCAAGAGCACAAATTCCGCGGGCCTTTCTAGGAATTTGTAGCTCAAATGATCCAAGAAAGGATTTTTTAGAAAGAGAAATAGAATGAGGACGAAGACGAAAAAGGTGAATAGAAACGCATGGTAATTGTGGAAAAAAAGAACGGCAAACAACGCATGCAATGCAATCAGGTGGTTTAGGTTTTGGTGTTGATACGAAAAAGTTCCTTTTGAACAATTTTTTTCGTGGAAATTTCGCAAGATTTGGCTGTTTGGCCGAACCAATTGCTAGATATCACATGAAGAATTAGACCGTTCCACCAGAAACGTGGCATTCTTGAATGGAATTAGCCCTGATGAACGTCCTCCTCGATGCACATTGCTTTAAGTTCATATTTATATTTTTTCGATGGGCAGTTTCACGTCCCTAATAACCACTGACTGGAGTTTTTGCTCAGGAAAAAAAATAATATAAAAATATATCAGAATCTACTTCAAAACTTTTTGAATTCATTACATGTGATTTTGAACTATATTAATGTTAATAGAAAACTAAAAATTTTACATTAATATAAATTTTACGGTTTACATGGGACTGGCATGCTATTCAACCAATTTTGAAAAAAAAAAAATGTATTAGATTCTTAATATAAATTATATTAAAATAAATTTTAAAATTATTAAGTTTGTTTTGATATGGATGCAACATCATTCAAAATTATTTGTTCTCTAAAAATATAAATCCTTATGAAAATCTAACAATTCAAATGTATATATCATCACCCTCATGGAAAAAATATGATGCTTTTGACTCCAATAGATGAGGAGTGAGACCAGAATACTAATGTCCATTGTTGAATTTCTCAATATCTTTTATTTGGATCTTTATTAATTCAAATTATCCTAATATTGGATTCTCATTCTAGCCAAATTTTCCAACTTCATGTCCTCCCATGAGCTCAACAGCTGAAGCCGAATTCATAATAATAACATGAAGATTGATGGTTATCATTTTTGCATGAAATATGCTTCTTCTTTTATTTTAATTGGTGTTGTCATTGATTTTTTTTTTTTTGTTACACTAAGCAAAGTAAAATGTAATTTTAAGAAAATTATGATGTGTTTTGAATGCGTGCTACTAAGAGGCATTTAATGGCATGGGTGGAGCTACAGCGGGGGAATTTGAGGCCCATGCGCAAGCTAGTCCGGCTTTCCCCAAAGTTCATTATTATTATTATTAAATCCTAACCCATGGCCCGGCCGCCCACGATCCCACTCCTTACCCGACTATGCAATAATGCATGGATGCTTGGCACACGCAGATGACCATCGTAGTATCATGCCGTCACTTGCTCTCTATCTTTGTAGTATCATCACCATCGGACTATCATACAATTGGTTCACAAAGATACATGTCTACCACTCACACTAGCTCAACTTGTTGGTCTGCTAGTTTACAGAGATGGATGTTGCGAGTCGCAACCCCTGTCAGCTTTTTGATCGCCGTCATGAATGTGTTGTCTATGAAAACTACGTAGACTCAAGCCAAAGACAGGGAATGATCACTCAGAACCCTATGTTGTTGTCCAATTGAGAATGGAGGAAGCATAGGCTATTGATGTGAGTTATCCAGGTCCCACGGAACATCACATCTGACCGCTAACTACCTATGACCTCCACTTCCCCAAATTATCTTTAGTACTAAGAATATTCTCTGTTTCTTTTCTGCTATATGCCAGTCTAGTGGCCAGCTCAGCATTTTCTTTTCATAGTTATTTCTCTAATAGAAGAGGAGGATATATGTAGTAGAAAGGAGGAGTATTCGGGTAGAAAATGATATACGGAAAGCTGAAGCTATTTCTCCTACCTCCAACCTTCTTCTTCCCCTGTTCTTCCTTTCTCTATTTCTCTATTTCTTTTCTCTGTTTTCTGTGTTCTTGCAGGTCACGAAGGTTCTCACACCAGCTATCCCCCTCATATATGCTACATGATAGTGCCTAAATAGGAAGAAGAATATGAATAGTTTAACCACAAGATTCAAACTATCCATATTAGAATTATAATATTCTATACCGCTTTATCTAGCACGAGCAGATTGCCAGATTAATTTGACGAAACTGAATGGAGAGCAATTTTGTGATTAGGGCAAGGGAAACAAAAGGTTTCACAAGTGATAAAGTGATTAGGGTAAATCGCCCGTGGCTAGTTTACTTTTTTTGGGCTGTTTAAGCAGTTAATTAAAATTTAAATAAGGTTTAGTTTAAAAAAAAAAAACTAAATAAAACAAGTATGGTTTATGGGGCATGAAATAGTGCAATTTTATCAATTCTTAGTATGTAGTCTCTATTAATATGCTTTTGGGTTTAGAACATGTTATTATTATGAATCAAAAACTGGATTAAATACGGATTAGGAAACTTTTCTTAAGAAAAGACATAAGAAGCGCAATATATGAGCTCTGAATCCACATTGGAGTTTATATTTATTTTATTTGACCAGTGTTCTCAGAGGTCCTAAAGCTTCTAATTTGGACTGGTCTCGGGTTTTGAGGAAAATTGAAAGCTCCCTAGCCTATAGGTTCATCTAATAACACACAAACTAACCTATTTCTAGTTCTCTGCAGCAAACCTAAGGGCTCTTGAGCGGAGTAGAAATTTGGAGAGAGACGAAATTTCACCTGTGCAAGCGGCTGTAGAAGATGAAGATCTTGATTAGGCTGAAAGATGGCTATAGTTTCCTGCCTTCGTCGTCTCGGGAGCCGGATGGAGAAAGAGCTCAAGCGGAAAACAGAACTCTAATGCCTTCGTTTCCTCCTCCTTCCTTCTCCTTCTCGGTTTCTGCTGGGAGGATGTTAATACTTAATAGGCTTACTACTTTTCATGAAATGCTACTGGCTAAGAGGGGAGGTGGGCTCTAAAAATTGCACTGCTTGGGACAATATGCAAGGCCGTCTGTAAAACGTCCCATGTGAGTTTAAATGGCGAGCACATATTTCTTTAAAAAAAAAAAAAGATAGAGGTAGAGAGAGAATAGAAGCTCATATTAATAGAATATTTCTTAAAATAAAAGAAAGATAGAATAAGAGAGAGAATAGAAGCTCATATTAATAGAAAGTTTTTTTCAAATATCATATTTAATTCAAACAACTTATTTAATCAGAGACTTTTTTTTTTTGCATGATAGGCTAACTAATTAAGATTTGATAATTGATATCTACGCTTTCTTGCTTTGATGATAAATGAATTGATTTGATATTTCTTAAATGTTAGTATTAAATGAATGATCATAATTTTGGAAGTTCAAAAAAAATAATAATAACAGATTATATTTGAAAGATTATAGGCTTTTGCCTAATTTTATGTTTTGATAGCTTTGATTAGTTTTGATATATATTTTTTTAAATCAGTTAAAATTAATTCAAAATTCAAGAATAAATTCGATTTCATCTAATTTTGAGAGTACTGATGAAATTTTATTCAAAAATTAAGAATTTTAGCTAAAATTTGACACTTAAAACTCTCAGTTCTTACATCAAAATTCCGCGCAATTCTATCATTAATAATTTATTATATTTCATACGTTTTCTAAGTTAAACCCTAGTTAAATAATTCATTTATTTACATTAAAATTTTATATTTTATAATAAAAAGTTAATTTAATCACAAACTAAATTGAATCTACAAACATAAAAATTATGAAAACTAAGAAAATTGGACTTAAAATCTTACTTTTGAACACTCCTCTCTATCACTATTAGGTGAAATTATTTAGTGCAGATACAGACATCATCCATAGGCAAATCAGAGCGCGTCACCTCATCCCTTTGATATGTATCACGACTGTATTCGCGGTGTACCAAAAAAGCAGCGAGCTCTAATTCACACCCAAACAATCCAATGTCCGCACAGAATAATTTCTACACTATCAGAAACTTATTCTGACTTTAATCGATATGATATTTTGACAACGACTACTTTTAAAATTAATTTGATTTAGCTCAAAACTGAATAATTCAATATATGTAAATATAAAAATATATAAGCACAAATATGTATACATACATATATTCATATAACTTCAAAAAAGTCATTAAGCACAAATATAATATTGATTTTGTATGAAAACCCCCCTAATTCTCAATAAACAACAGGCTCCACAAATCTTAACATGATATTCACAAAAGTCAATTTCAAATATCATCTGATTTCCATCCTATCACTTGTTACAAAATACAGAAGCTAACACTCTGTAGAAAAATACTGTGTTTTTGCAAAAGAAATAGAATATGTTTCTGTACTAAATGCTTCTTTGTCAATTGGTGGCCATGAAATAATAAGAAATGCATTAAGCTTCAATCCCCAGCATCACCAATGCAGAATATTGAAGAAGAAGTTCCCTCCTGTAAAGCTACAGTACAGACAACAATGGTAGTCTGTAAATCACAATCACAATTCATTCATTTTTCTGTGGGATGCATTGCTTGGATTGTGGGAGCATTCATATCAGTCCATATGAGAGGAGGAGCTGAGCCAGTCGACCTCTCCCGGATTTCCCGGTACTCCTGGCAAAGGGCACAGGGATGGCAGAACAGGTGAGTTGTTAAATCTCCACAGGGAGCCTCCTGAAAATTAAAATATTTTGCGTTAACAGATGAACAATTATTTTAGTATCGGATGCCACAATCCATGTGCAATTCTGAAATTCTGCATGGATTTCTCTGTTTTGGTACTTATTATCTATCAGTTTGCATCGAACTCACTGTTTAAATCACAGAATTCCATTTCTTAATCCCTGGCTACCATTAAGCAGTCCCAAAAAACAATGATGGTGGTTCTTGCCTTTATCAACTCTCCAGGCAGTCTTAAAGATTATTCATTAAATTAAAAAATAAAATAAAAATTGGAAGAAGATGGCGTGACTGACAGTGGTTGGGCGTCTGGAGATGGGGCGAAGTTCTTTGGAGTTATCTTTGGTTGTTTTAGAAGGCATTATGTGCGAAGACCTACGTTGGAGCTGAGATGGGTTCATTTCACGTTTATTACATATCGATTTGTTACAAATTTTGTAATTTAACTTGGGTGGATTTCCACTAATTTAGAAGTTCTATAGGATGTTTTGAAAATTTCAGAATTAATTTAAAGTTAAGTTGAAACTAATCATTTACCCACCTTATCAACTAGCCAAATTTATAAAGAATTTATAGTCATCTAAGGAATGTAATTCGTAACTTTTAGCTTGAATAACTATTATCTTTCCAGTTTCAATCTTGTCAGTGCAAGTTGGATATTTTGTGAGTACAAGTGTGACTGCCTGAACTTGGAGAAGTCAACACCTTAAAATGGCATGAGAACTATTTTTTTCTTATTTAGATTACTTTCTTTCCTTCTCTATTTCTTATACATAATATGTGATTGGCTAATTTAGTAATCCTGACTTTGGTTAAGGGGAAGTCATCTCCAGGGTTGGAACCCTTTGAGTCCGGGGGCAATTGCCCTTCTAAAAAAAAAAAATTTATTATATGATTCTTTAGGTAATTTGTCCACCTCAATTTATTTTTTTAGTCTTTATTACAAGGGTTTTATTATACGATTCAAATTTGTAGTTAAACATTTCAATTATTTATGATCATTTCATTACCAATTGAACTAATGGCCTATATTACTGCTTGTTCTTATTTTAAAAAAAAAAGTCATTGGATTATTTATAACTTGTGACATATGAATCCACAATTTTTCTTTTCATGAAAATATACTATGCATCATATTACTTGCATTAAGAAACCCTAATCTTAACTCATCGTGCATCAAATCCATGTTTAAGTGTTAGGTTTGGCCATAATCTCGCTTAAAAAGCAACCTTAATTATCAAAACAACTTCACATACTGTGGACTTGATGAATTTTAACTATTTTCAAAATTAATTGTCTAAACTATTAAACAAGAAAAATCAAATTTGTGATGCCATCAATTTAGTAAAAACAATAGTTGATAAGAAAATCGAGCAAGTTCATGCAAGTAAATCTAAAGTAGAATCCAATCACAATGATGAACCAATTAATCTACACGTTAACTCTAGTATGAAACGAGATAATCAATTTATAGACAAATCAAGATCTTTAATAATTATGCTTATGTAGATCATAGATGTTAAAATTTTGATGTAGATAATGATATAATCAAAACAGTTTAAATCGAACAGTCTATCTATAATGATAAGATTGAATCTAAAGCTTTTACTGATTGGTTGTCAGATGTAAATAATTTATTTGAATAACAAACAATGTTTGATGATATGAAAGAGTAGTAATGTTACATGTAAAGATTACAATGAATTTAGCATAACTTAAATAATGACTTATCTTTGCTCAATTGAGACTACTTATTAAGAATGGCTATTTAATTAAGAGTACTCGTCCTTGTATTTCTTGATTCATCATTGAGGAATTTCTTGATTTTAGAATTACATGTTGGGATTACAGCTAATCATTTTAGGAGAGATAAAACAACTAGAATAACTAGGGATAGATCTTTCTAACCAAGTCTGAAAAAATGAAGAATGAATTATTTCACAATTTAAAATCAATCAGCTAAAAGATGAAAACAGAACACAAGATTTTATACACCTTCATAAGTTCCATAAAAGCATGATTCAATTTTAGTGGTAGACCATTTTTTTTAATCGACGCATTTCATACCATATCAAAAAACTATTTATGCATTTCATATTATTAAATTGTATTTTACCGAATTGTTTAAATTACATGGTTTACTAAAAACATAATTTCTAATCAAGATGTAAAATTGAGTCTTTTCAAAAATACTCTTTAGAAAAAAATATACCACTTAAATTTCAAATATTTATCATCCACAAATTGATAATCAAACTGGAATATAAGCTTAAGAGATTTGTTGCATTGTCAGATAAAAGACTGCATCTAGGTTGGATTTGATGCTATATGACTAATTTTGCATACAATTTATCCATCAGTAGGTTTATAGGCATTAATCCATTTGAAAAGTTTATAAGGAATCAACATAGGAATCCTATAGATCTTGTATGGAATCAAAATCTAGCGCATTTACATAATTTTGCACGACATATGCATGATATACATAAGAAACATTGGCTACAAGTTATAATAAATACAAAATTTTTATTGATGTGAACAAGATGAGTATGAAATTTAAGACTGTTGATAAGGTTATGATGCATCTACATCTAGACGGAATGTCATTGTGCATCTATATCAAAAAAGACTTACATTGGGAACCTTTAGAAAGTTGAATGCACCATTTAAAAGTATGCAATACATTGGAACTAATATCTATAAATTAAAATTTTCAAGAAATATAACACAGTTCTTGAATTCTAGTAAAATAAATTAAACTTTCAAGAAATTCTAGTAAAATACATTTGCAACACATTGGAACTAATGCCTAATACTAATTTATTGAATTCTACTGCCTTTCCATCTCTTCCAAGTAATTCCACATCCAATCCTCTAACTTTTGTACAACTTATTCCAAAAATCATTCTAAATGATGAGATTGCATCTACTGTTAATGGTGGCTTCTAGAGACACCTTATTCATTAGTGGGATAAACCTGGGCCGGCCTGGCTATAATAATTTCTGGGATGCTCGACAAGAGTCTAAAAAACAATGTTCATAATTGTTTGATTATCAAGCATCAAGTGCTAAATTTGTGTGAGTCAATTTTGTCCAAATTGGATAGGTTTGATGGAAATCTTCGTCTTTACTCTCACCAGTAGAATCACATGAAGCATCAATTTTGTCATGATTTTTTTCTTCATTAATTGTTGCATTTTATTTGGGTTATTTATGTTTTGAGGATATGCCAATGATGATGGTCAAGAAAAGTTGTATTAGCTGAGAAAGGTTTTAATTTATTTCTTAGCTTATGTCAGTTTATTTTGTTGATATGATTTTAATTTAGTTTAGATTAATTTTTACAAAAAGATTGTGTGGTTTGTTCAAATTGTTGGAGTCATTTTCAAACTGGGTAGATTTATGCAATGGTTGTAGTTTTATTTCCCCTTTGAGTGCTGGTCATTGACATTATTCATTAAATTAAAAAAATAAAAAAGAATGTGGTTTGATTGGCAAGTTCTATTTGCGGGGGTTGGGCACTTGGAGACAGGTTGATGCTCATAATTCTTATCTTTTGATTGTTTTAAAAGGAAGATTTGTGTGGAGACTTGCATTGGAGATGGAATGGGTTTATTTTAAAAGGAAGATTTGTGTGGAGACTTGCATTGGAGATGGAATGTGTTTATTTTATGTGTATTGTTGTTCGCTTGATTGGAAGGCTTCAAATTTTAATTGGGTGCATTTTGATTTGTAAGTTTTAATTGGATAATTTAGAGACTTCAAAATAAAAATGGGGATTGCTTTAACCTTAAAGTAAGACCAATCATGTGCCAATGTTATTTGATAATCTAGGTTATGAGAAGTCAATAAATAATAGTTTGAGACATGTAATTCAAAACTTTGATTTGAATACTACAACAACAACAATATCAAGCCTTTATCCCACTACGTGGGCTTGGCCACAAATTTGATTTGAATAAAATTTATTTTTATTTTTATTTTCAATCTCGTGAATACAAGTTGAAAAAGATTCTTTGAATATGGTACAAGTGTGACTATTAATTACGAGGTAAGTCATCTCCTTGTATAAGCATATGGGTTGATTTTTTATTTTGGTAATTAATTAAAATTTGTAAAGAAAATGAGTAAATTGTTGTTCTTCATGTGGCAAAATCAACAATTTACCACATGTAGACTTATCAGCCCACTTTATAAGGTATTTTTGATATCTACCATCAATAGTGAATATTTCATTTCCAATAATAGCTTCAAAACTAAGATTAGTATAAGAATATGAGAATTACATATAATGTATTGGATGTGTATCCCAAAAGAAGAGATGAAAAAGAGAATAATAGAAGACATCAATAGATGGCTCATGATTAAAGTCAAATCATATGCATTAAAAAATAGGCTAAGACTGTATGATTTTTAACTTTAAAGCATTTGTCTAAATTCATCATATGACTGTATGATTTTATTCTTTCAGCAACAAATTTCTTATCACTTGATTTAAATTCATAGATCTCCAATTCAAATCTTCAATAAACTTATAAGTGTCATGGTCAACGATAAGTTTCTTTTAAATATGTTCATGCAAATCATTATATGACTAATGAATGATGTGATACAATATAATTCAAGTGAGAAATGCTAAAATATTTATATATTTTCTTATAAAGATACTATAAATAATTTCAAGAAGAGGTGATGATGAAGAAAAAACCTAAAATTGATTTCTATTTAGTTCCACACAAAAAAATTCCGATAGTATATAATCCACATAGATATGGCAAGTCTATCACATAGATTAACCTTTTTAAGGAAAACTAACACAAATGCTTTTTCCATGATGAATTATGCAATTTCGATTTTAACTAGATAAGTAACAATTTACCCTATAGTATTCGAAGACACTTATCTACAATAAATCTTTTTATGCATGTAAATGCGATATGATTTTCTCTATTATATTTTTTATGAACTAGCAAATCAAGAAACCAATAGCCAATATAAAATTAAAATCAATTTAAAGTGTCAAATTGTTTCAATTGATTATCAACTTTAAAATGCATAAGTTGATTGGTTTCATAGCCAAGAATAAATTCATATTCTATTTGAGGTTTGGATTCATATATGACATCAAGTCCACTTTTAGATTTAAGTTGTAACTTCTGCTTAATGTTCTAATATAGATTCTAGCGAACATTCATATTTAACAAAGAATCACATGCAAAATCATATTTATAAGATAAATGTATTTTTGCATTAAATATATATCCTTCAAGAATATTCATGAAATTATAATTTCTTCAACAAAATCAAATTTGACCATACAATATTCTTAAGTTAGTGTACATCAGATACGGCTTTATAAGAGGTTTTATTGACCTTTACTAGAAATATTACGCACGTTTATTCAAATCTACAATGAGATACCGAAAATGTCACAAGCTCTTAATGGTAACCACTATTTGATGCTTTCGATGAATGCAAAATAATATGAAATAATTCAACTCAAATGACAATGTAATACTATTTTAGTAGAAATAATGCACAGAAATTTGGAAATTAAAAAAAAATATATCTAATAGAAAATTGCGCACTCATATAAATATAGATAATATTAAAGTACAAAATAGATCGGTTGTTAAATTATTATTTGGCAAAAGTTTCTCATAATTTTAGTTCGTATCAAAAGAAGTGAATTCTTGTTATAATTAGTAGTATTTAAGACTGTGAATATATAATCAATTAAGAACCTCAAACTCCAGGAAACATAAAAGTTTGACTTCTTTGGACAGATTGGCAGCCCCGTTTTATGGTCAAGAAGCATTTGTGAAGTTTATGGAATTGAGCGAAAGACAATCTATATTAAATCTGACTAACAGAGTTGCTAACAATATCTGCACATAATTCATCAATGTGGTGAGAATGCAACATTATCTGGAACTTTTATAAGCCCACTTGTTCTTGATGTTATGAATCGAAGAAGAATCTAAGATGTAAGAATCTGGTAGAACAATTATGACATCTTATAAATTACGGTTTTCTATGTAAATGCTAAAAACGCTTTCACGCTGATTTTCATTCCAAAAGGCGTGAGCATACCTGCAGCGTATATTTTGCCCTAAGCGCTTTCCGATATCCACAAGCATAACAAGCAACCATAGCTCCTGGAAAAAATGCTAGAATGCCTCCGCTGAACAGACAACAAAGGCTATTAACCAGGCCCCATAAAATGAAATGTGTCATGCATGATCCAGCCAATGTTCCAGACCCTAAAAATTCTGCATTTTTCCCGAATAGGAAACAAGGACAGATAGTGCCTATAATACCTATTAAAAAGTAGCAAGGCATTATAAGAAAAAAAATGTAAGCGGATGTAACAAGGTGCATGGTCTTTTATTGAACATAAACTGTACTCTTTATGCAACCTAAAACAATTAATTTCACACTAAATGAATTTAACAGAAAAAAGTAGGGTTAATTCAGACTAAGTAGATCACTTTTCTCCATTTCCCATCGTATCAGGTCATCATATTCATTTCCTCCTGCTATTTCATCACTTTTGCCTCTCTTTTATTTTATTTTACTTTGGTAACAGATTGAGTTCAGCCACACAGGAAAGGATAAGGCTCAAATTTAACATCTGCGCTACAATAGTAAAAACAAGCAAATCATCTTCATGAATAGTAAACTGCAACTCACCATTCATAATTATCCTCATGTTTACATGCAGTGGATAACAACATGATGAGCATGTCCAAGATCAAGAGTTCGGAGATGCAAAAATAAAGAATATAACAGATTTGACATCTTTTGACTGGCAAGATGAGGGATATACGTCTAGATGCTATTCTTAGATCCGGAAATCATCATATATCCAACATCACTAAGCCAGTTCTCCTTCTTTTCTAAGAAAGATTGGTATTGCAATCCTTTAAGATGCCTTCAAAAACATGAGGGCAATGAAGCAAGAATAAATTTCAAGCATATTTCAAGAAACTAGCTTTTCCTCATCCACAACGGCTCTTTGAATCAGTTTTATTGGCCTTTTAGTTTCACAAAACAAACTTAACACAAGGGAGCTTTTGATTACTGCTAACATATTCATCAATAAATTAATAATGATACATAGACACTAAATTCTTAAACACAAGCTGCATGCAAGGTATCGTGTTAAACTTACACCCATACCAAAACTTCATATGTTTATTGAAGACAGAAATATTGTGTAAAAAAAAGCAATGATACAGTTTCATCATCATGATAATCATCATTACAACAACAACAACAACAAGCCTTTATCCCACTACGTGGCGTCGACTACTTGAATCGTTTTTATCCATTGTGTCCTATTAAGAGTCAAATTCTCATTTAAATCTAATAAAGAAAGGTCATTTCTAATATTTTCTAACCAAGCCTTTTTAAATTTATCTCTACCTTTCCTAACCTAAGCCAGAGCTAATACATCTACTCTCCTAACTGGGTCATCAGAAGGCTTCTGTTTTATGTGACTAAACCATCTAAGGTAACTCTCTAATCTTATCTTTCACTAGAGCTACTCCAACCTTTTCACGTATATGCTTGTTTTGTATCCTGTCTCTAAGAGTAAAACCACTCATCCACCCAAGCATACTCATCTCTGCAACACTTAACTTAATATTATGCTTCTCTTTTAATGGCCAACATTATGCACCATAAAGCATTGCAAGTCTCACCACCACCTTATAGAATTTTCTCTTAAGTTTGAGGGGGGGTTTCTCCACTTCAACCATCAAACTTGAATTCTACTAATAATATCCCCATTTATTTCACCATCACTCTGAACAATAGACCCAAGATATGTAAAATACTAAAATGTGTACTCTTATTAATGACTTGATCACCCAAAGTCACAACTCCCCCCCCCCCCCCCCCCCCCCCCCCCCAAAAAAAAAAAAAAAAAAAAAAAAAAAAAAAAAAAAGAAACTAGATCTTTACAATTAAAATTACACTCCATATATTTGTTTTAGATCTACTCAAACAAAAATATTTAAACTCTAAGGTTGACCTCCATAATTCAAATTTACCTTCAACTCCCTCTCTTGTCTTATCAACAAGAAGAATATTATTAGCAAAAAGCATACACCAGAATACAATCTCTTACAAATGTTTAGTGAGAACATCCATGACTAAAGCAAAAAGATATGGGCTTAAGATTGATCCTTGATGTAATCCAACTGAAGTAGGAAAATACTTGGTCAAACCACTTGTCTTTGAACACAATAGCTTCGGCATACATATCCTTAATAACTTGAATATAAGCATTATTAACCCCTTTCTTTTCTATAACTCTCCATAGCACTTCTCTAGAAGCTTTATTATATGCTTTCTCTAAATCAACAAATATCATATGTAAATCCTCTTTATTCTCTCTATACTTCTCCATCAAACCTCTCAATAAATGTATAGCTTCCATAGTAGACATACCCGACATAAATCGAAATTAATTTTGAGAAACATTAGTATCATGTAACAACCTATCCTCCATAACTCTCTCTCATAGTTTTAAAGTATGACACATTAAATTAATTCCTCAATAATTCGCACAATCGTGTGCATTACCTTTTTTCTTAAAAAAATAGGAATCAACACACTCATCCTGTACTCATCTGTCAACTTTTTCGCCTCCAAAATAATATTAAAAAATTTAGTAAGCTAAGAAATTCCTTCATCTCCTAAGCAATTCTACATCTCTATTAGAATATCATTAGGTCCAACAGCTTTTCCACACTTCATTTTATTTAAAGCCTCTATAACTTCAATTTTACTAATACGTCAATAAAAGAAATCTTTATTTTCATTTAGGGTGCTAAGATCACTAAGTCAATCGTATTCTCATAATACTCATTGAAAAATTTAGCAAAATATCTCATCCACCTTTGTTGAATATCCTCTCCGAATAAAAGCACATTTTGATCTTCCTCCTTAATGCACTTCACTCGAACTAAATCCTTTCTACTCATCATTGTGCCATTTATATTAGACTAGATTCATGAATCCTTCTTTGCTATTCATTCCATTAAACTACTTTATGTAGTGTAAACACTTGCCTGAGCATACAATTTTTCACTACTTTCGGATATTTTATGTTTGGCCTGCCCCTTACCTATTTCTTTTGCAATAATTTTACATGAAGTTCTTGCTGCATCTTCTCCTCTCAATTATAAATGCTCAAAACACAAAAAATCAAGTTTTTAACCTTCTCTTCAATAGTTACTACCCCCAAACTACCTCAAATGAAACTATTTCATACTCTACCCTTCTTAGAATTGTCATAGATCAATCTAACTATTCATGTGTAGTACATCACAATCATAGTCCTTATAATGTTTAGCATAGGAAAACAATGAAATAGTTGTTTAAACCATTAAGAAGGAAATGCAACTAAAGTTGTCATTAACAATGGTAACATCAAACAATATATCAAACACAAACTTCAATAGATGATGTGAATTAGAAAGCCATAACGTCTAGTACCTTGCCTTTTAGGTGTGAAAATGGAACAAACAAGCCATCCCATCCTCCCACAAGAAAAAACAAACTAGGCACATGACCCAGATGAAGCGGTTGGATAAAAACACTGGATAAGAACGTGAATAAACCAAAAGGGTGCATAGCTAGTTTCTGAACAAAATCCAAATGCAATAGTTCTTGCTTCATTTTTCTTTTCCTTCATTGTGCTCCTGTGTGTATAAAGGGGTTTTGACAGAAAAATTTGCTGGAGTCTTATATTTTGGAATTCAACCATTAATTAGATGATTAGTCCAGTCATATCTAAATAAAAATATGGGTGGTGTCCTGGTGAAGGGGTATGTCTTTCAGTCACAATGACTGAAAACATAAGAAATGTGAACAAGAATACATGTTTTTGGATTATGATATAAACAAATTGCACCTTCTATTCTTTTTTCTTCTCAAAATCAAGGGATCACAGGGCATAAAGTAGCATACAGCTCTGCATATCGTCACAACAAGCACAGATGCCGGAAGACCATTGAGAGGGATCACGAGCAACAGCTTGAGGAGGAGAGGTTTCTTCCGTCTCAGAAAAACCATCAGCTTCAGATTCTGACTGGTGCAGGGGAATATATGGAGGTGGTATATAACCGTCTGGCCCAGGCATTTTGCTGAAAGACAAACATGCCTTGCTTTGTCAAAGTTCTAATATATCTTCATTGATTTACAATATTAGAAAAAAAAAATAAATGAATCAATAATTTCTAGATCACTAGACATATCAAAACCCTCTAAACAGCACTAAAATTGACGTCAATGAGACCATTTCCTTGTCATATCAAAAAGGCAGTTGCCATGGGAAGGGCGGTACGCAGGGCAAAAAAATTCCAATGCTCATAACTCCATCTATCAACTTGGAAGGCTTTTGCATTTTTTTTTCACAAATCACAAAAAAAATTAAAAGAATAAAAAGTATACCATATAAAAATCACAAGAACTACAAGAAATCAACTGCCCAGGAGTGAATCTAAGCAGAAAGCTTCACACAGCATATGATCAACATAACCCGCGCATCCATTCCAAATTTCTAATGCAACAACCAACAATGGAACCTTCAATTTCACAAAAATCAGAACATATCGCATTAAACCCTATATGTCAGAAAAATCCAAAGCAAAGAACAACAGGCTTCGAATCCAGTAAAAGTGTGCAGATCAAAAGCCGGTTCACAAAAAATTGAGCAGAAAAAAAATACCAACTGAAATCAAACAAAAGATCAAAATAAGCTTACCAAGAAATTCTCTTCGTTGATCGGACCTGTTTAGAAAGATTTGACAGCAAATGAGATCTGCAAGAAAAAGGGCAAAGAAAGGAAATTTCCAAAGAAAGGTCTCCAAAACCCGAAACATACGACCCGTGAATCAGTTGTTCCGCAGGAACATTTTTTCTGCCAGAAAATGGTTCAGCAAAGCTGAGATCGGGCGGTGAGGATATGCCATCTCTTGCAATAGACGCAAGAAAGTAATTCCACGAAACGAATATATATATATATATTTATTTATTTATTTATTTATTTATTTATTTATTTATGGAATATTTCCCTACATGGCTTTTAAAGAACGATCTTATTTAAAGTTGAGTAAAAATTAATGTAGATTATTTTGTTCTGATTTTAGAGAGATTTCATTTTTGAGATTTAGTTTGAATAATAAAAAATCACTATGAGATTTTAATAATAAGATAAAGTGAGAGAAATTATTAATTAAAATTATTTATAAATTTTAATTATTTCAAGCTTTCATTGATATTAAAATATCTAAATTTTGTTTTAATGTATACTTTTTAATTTTATTCAGAAAATAAATCAAATCATGTTTATGCGAGATTAATTTATTTATTTTTCAATTAACAAACGATTTCTTTTTAAAAATTTTTATATATAAGAAAATAATAATCGTATGTAAATTTATGTAAATTTAAATTAACTGTATTAAACATTAAAGTTTTATATGAATTTTATTTTGAATTTGAACGCTCACCATAGATAGAGAGAGAGAGAGATTTGAGTTTATAAGCTTCATAATGCTTTAAAAAAACTAAAAAAGAAATAAGCCCAAAACTTTTGTTCACACTAAAATACGGTGCTATGATAATATATAATCTGTCATTCAAGCTAGGGGTGTCAATATTTGACACGACACGAAAACCCGACCCGGACCCTACCCGGAAAATCCGGGTTGAACCCGACCCGATTTCAAAATGGGTCGGGTTCGGGTTCCAGAAATCGACCCGTTAAAAAAACGGGTCGGGTTCGGGTTGACCCGGCGGGTACCCGGCAACCCGTTTAATTCAAAAAATTTTGAATCCCGCCTCTGCCCGCCGCGCGCTGCCTACCGCGTGCCCGCGCCCGACCTCGGCCCGAAAAAAATATTTTGTGGGTGGAGTTCAAGTTAATCCCAAAATTGGCCTGCTCTTAATTCGTCCGATCCAACCGTCGCTATCGACATGACCCGATTCGCCGACTCTGTTTGAGTTTAAGTGCGACGCGAGCGAGGGCAAGGCGGCAGGCGAGTGCGAAACAAGCGGGTGATGGAGAGGGAGTGCATGAGTGAGCGAGCCAGGACGAGTTGACAAAGCAAGTCAAACGGTTTTTCATTCAGTCTTGGAGGTTTAACCTGACCTGGCTATTTGTTAAACGGTGGTTTGCCCCTCGAACCCAAAATTTTTTGGTCGGATTGAGTCAATATATATATATATATATATATTATATATATATAATATATATATATATATAATATATATAATATTATATATATATAGAGAACACACACACACACACACAAAAATAAGAGCAAGAGCATCTAATGTTTTGACTATGATATAAAAATAAAAGTATAGTGCATAAATACGAAAAAAAAAAAAGTTAAAAGAGACACAATAATTTACATGTTTGCATGCATGAACATTTCACAAGAGGTAGAGATATATAGAGTTTAATATATACTAGCTTTGTGCGGTATCCAGCATGCACACAAATAAGGGAGGGAGGTGCGAACAATCATGAGAAGACATTGAAATTTTTACGTGGGCTGAAAATCCTGATAATGAAAAAAAGCACGAGGCTTTTGCCTAATTCAAATGATTCTCATAATGCTTGTTGTTGATTATAAATGTTGCCCTTCCTCGAGGGAAAGTATTGGCTCAATTTAGCAAATATACAAATACAAGCAAATCACATGACTTGTTAGAAGGAATCATATACATGAGAGTTGTTCTTTAAGAGAAAATTGATTTATTTGTTTGGTTGAAGAACCATATTCCATAACGACAGAGGTTTAGGGAATCATGTCAGACAATTGAGATGAAGGTACCATAGTATGGTGAGCTGGCGTAGGCCTAGGAGGGACCGTAAGTTAGCTAGTGATAGAGGTTGATGGACCGTGATCAAGCGAAGTGTGAGACCTCGTTCCTCTTACTGTTCCTCTCTATATTGGATTTTCCTCCTAGGCATCGGCCGGAGCGATAGTTGGATCGTCCAGGCCGATCAGTGTATTTGAAAAGCGGATGTTTTCTGGATCGTCCCGAGGACCGCCCTGAGAACCGTCGCAGGATCGAAGTATTTTGGTCTGATCGTACCCAGGACGATTCTTGGCGATCGCCGGGCCGAATCAGCCTAATGATAAAAAAAGCAGACTCATTTTGAGGAGGAGAGAAAATCAATTTTTAAAAATCAGATATTTTGAAGAGAGAGAAAGAGAGGAAAAGTGAAGGAAAGGAAATTCTGGTTTCGGAGGCCGCAGAGCGCTTATTCGTCCGAACTGTTGTTGGGAAAAGTTGAAGATCTCGTGGTAAGGACTCTGAATCCTTTCTTTGTTTTCAGAGATATTGAGTTTGAATCGATTGTGCACTGTTTTGTGTTTTTGTAGTCGAACTTTTGATCTGATTTGGTATTGACACAACTTTCACCGCACAACATTTTGGTATGTTATAGATATGACTATTGTACACGATTTGAGTATTTCCTACGAAGATATTTACCGGTCGGAATGATTCTCACGAATTTTAATTGAATAGAAAAATATCAGGACGTGATTTGATTTGGATCTCTATAGAACAATAGTCTTGTACTGAGTCGTGGATATTCTACTGTAATTGTAGAAATTTTGGAATTTGTGCTTTTTTGCAGGATTTTTGTGTAAATGTTGAAGACTTTGCCGTTTACTCTGCCCGATTTTCGCTACGATTTCTGATTTTATCTGAAATTGATAGATTGAATTGATATGTGCATGACTATTTGATATGATTGTCTAGATTGCTTTAATATGGATTATTGATTGATTATTGATTGATCTTGAATGATTATTGAATTGACTATTGATACTGGAACAGCAAGTAGAACCTGGTTGAACGTTGGTGGAGATTGAATTGACCCTGTACAGGATGGTGGGCCGACAGTCTTTCCTTTAAAACATGATTATTGATTATAACGATTGAGAGTCATAAGGGGTTATAGATATGCCGACGGGCGGACGGACGGCAATAGAGTGACGACTCTTTTTATTGAAACCAACGTATGGATATCTACAACAGCAATATGGATTCTACAACAAGCAACAATAGCCAGTTGATTGTACTTGTTCAGTATTATTGTATTGAAATGCATGTTTACTGTATTGACGTACAGATTTATTGTTTTATCGATATCTGCTTTATTGATTTGATCGAATTTACTGTTTCATACGGATTCATTAATTTCATTGATTGATCATTGAGCATGGATAATATGATTATTGATTATTGACATGATATTGATAGAATGGATATAGATTTTGTATAGACTCATTGATACTATTGATTCTGTATAGTATGATTGCTACATTTGAGTTATTGATAGATATCGTATTGCTTTTCCGATTGATTTTTATCGACTTGATAGTATAGATTTGATTTTGATTTGATGACTGATTTGAGGACGGATTGACTGATTGACGAATTGACTGATTTTCTTCTGTGTACGGATTTCTTCGAGATTGACGTGGATTGATTGAGCTTGATTTATCGATTTGCCTGCTGCTTGCATTGACTTGTTTCTTGACTATGGATTCCGTATTGCATAGACTCATTGACCATTTGACTGATATTGATTTGATTGACTGACATGCATATTGTATTCATCGCCGTGCTTTGATTCCAGTTATAGGTATTAGGTGACCTCGGTGGCTTTGTAAAGCTCATTATATGTGGTTGATATTTTCAGGTCAGGGCAAGGAGCAAAAAGATAGGAATTGATCCGGATCTTCAGGTTTTTGTCTTTGATGATTTTGATCTTTTGTACTCAGGATAGATTTCAGTACTGATGATTGTAGTGTAGTTCCTGAGTATTGTACTGACATTTTAAGATATGAATCGACTTGTATATTGATGTTTTAAATTTATAAGATGTTTGATAGACCGTTTTAAATTGAAGGTTTTAGATAGCTCTGGTAAATTGTTTGAGAAATAGATGACATTCTTTCACCAGTTAGATCTTGTGGGCGTGACACGAAGGATGTTCACAGAAGGATAGTTGTCGGCGACAGAGGTCTGTGGGATCATTAACAAATGGTGAATGTGCTTAAGAGTGATCCTAGTTGGGCAATGGAGATTGGAGGACTGTTGTCGGAAAGTGACAAAGCTCTCAAGAACCATGGTTTCACAAATAAAATTAAGCTTAGAACAATGTTCAATCATTAGCCGAACATATTTGGATTAAGTTCAGAATATATATTTCAAGAAATGTTTAAGCTCGTAATATCATGTTTAAGGTCATTCAAGATTTAGAGTTAATAATGTAAACGTATAATATCACGAAGATGAAAAAGTTATCTCAATAATGATCGTTGACATAGCTAAAGATGAAGATAGAGAGAAATTAAATTGGAACGTTGCCCTACAACATATTCATGAATGAGAATTGCATGAGAAGAAGCCATTGAGCACTTTCTTGCTGAATTAGGGGTGTCAATTTCGGTCTACGGGTCGGGTTCGGGTCGAACCCGGAACTGACCCGGTTCAAACGGGTCAACCCTACCTGACTCGGGTAGACAAACAGGTCGAAAAACTGAACCCGGACCCGACCGGCGGGGTTGCCGGGTTGACACGACCCGACCCGGTTTGGGTGTCGGCGCCAAACGACGGCGGCGGACGGCGGGGGACGCTGAGCGACGACGGCGTGACGCGAGCGGGACAGCGCGGGCTGCGTCGGCGCTGGCACGTGGCGGCCGAGTCGGCGCGGCCGCGC